TGAAACCAATATGCTTTCACACTGAAGTTGCAAAGGAAGCAGGAGTTGTAGCATAGTTGTAGCCTGATGGTCATGAACAATTATAATAGTATGATGTAATCAGAGTATTTCAAAAATGGTGGAAGACAAACAAAGTACTGTCTGATATAATCAATAAGTTAACATTATTATGATTTATATTAATTAAAAGCAAATGTTTCATCAGCAAATGTATTTTAAAAGCTAAAGATTAGTAGTAGCATTTGTCTTAAAAATGTCTGAATATTTTTCCTTCAGTGGAAAAAAGATGGAGAAGGATGAAGTAATCTGGGTAGTTCAAAAATGATGGAAGATTAAATATTACAGTAATGTAATCAATAATCTTAATATTTTAAGATGTGGAATTTTTTTCAAGCAGATGATTTCTCCAACTTGTTCAGTGATTGACCTGACTAAGATGGGATTTGAACGCAGGCTGTCTAGTTGGCAGGCAAGGACTCATTCCTCTCATTTGTTCCTTCTGAGAAAGCTAGCAGTAAGGTTAGGTTAGAGCAGCTGTACAACCCACACACGACTGTGTCATCCTCAAACAAAGCTCAGCGTTAGGATGAATCAAATTTTGACACCATCAGTGGAGACTCCCTTCCAGCAGCTGTGTGTCCACAAATAGTACAGAAGACACTGTGAAAAATAAGATGCATAAGCTATCTTTGATTCTATTTTTCAAAATTTATACTGAAGGAGTGCGACAACTCGCATTTGATTTTTAACATGGATTTTATTTTCACTTTGTGAAAAAAAGAAAAAAAAATTAACTTTGTGTTAGCTGTTGCCCCTCGTAAATCTGGCTTTTAAAAATCTGAGTAATCCTGAACTCACTAACAGCCTGCTCACATTACACAGATAACCCAAAAATGACTAACAAAAATTCCATTATCTTGACATCACATGCGATAGATTATGTTTTTCTAACAACTTCTAAGTTGAACCAACCATCTTGGTCCAGCTACCATGGTAATCATGCTTCTGAAACTGGGTCCAGAGAGACTACTGATCTCAGTTACTAAAACCATCTGCTAGGTTTTTAGAATCACTTAAAACTGATAGTGACGCTCAACGTTATTACACCTGCATCATTTTATACAAAGTAACATGACTCAGAGGTTTGTTAACCAAAATGTTATAACAAGAACAATCCTTGACTGCTCTCTGTGACAGAAGACACTTCTTTCCTTTGGAGTTTTGTTTGAAACAGAAACACAAACTATGACAAAACATTCAGTTTGATTTTAAAAATGAAAAAAAAAAAGATTTAATGTTTGAACTGAAGGGGACGAAAGGAGGAACAAAGCAACTGGTAGCCATTGTTATACAATATTTAGAAAGACTTGCCAGAACAAAATGTGGTCCCATGTAGCTATGTTTTTTAATGACATACTTTCTATAAACTACCGTAATTGCCAGTGTACAAGCCCGCTACATTTTTGTCACACTTTGTACCCCGCAGTTTGAGTAATTCATATATTTTTTCATAATTTTCATAAGTTATATTTTTATATTTTATTTTGACAGACTTCCTGCCATCTCTCTGTAACTTCCCATCGCTGACTAACATTTTCCTTTGACAGAGCTGGGTGCTCATGGCTCCCAGCACCCCGCCCATCTTGGGGGCAGGTGTTTGTGATACACAGAGTGAATGCCCTCATGTACAACTCTTGCTCAGGGTTTCAAATTCCCTACCATAACTCCACCCACTCTGTCATCATGTGACCAGAAGTCTAACTTGAATGACCAGAGAGGTACTCTCGAGGACCATCCCCCAAGATAAAAGTGCATTAATTTCTTCAGATCGTTCCCGTGTCGTTCCTGTATTTTGCGCTTCATGCACAGACCTGTTCATTTGTTCAGTAATAATGGAAAACGCACGGAGAATTTTTTATGATGCAGATTTCATGTTAAAAGCTATCGGCTGTCAGAGAAAATGGCTGCAGCCAGTAAGCTTTGCATCAACGTGTCGATGGTCGGGCACTGGAGACACAAAAGCAGTCAAGTCTGGTACATGTTTTAATAAAAGTTTTAAAATTATTTTTGTGTGACATCTTTATGTGTATGGTAAATATGCGTTTAAACACCGGGATCTCATTTTAAACTCGCATCCAAACGCATGAAACGGGCTGGAGACAACGAACCGGAGAGATTCTTCCCCTGTCCCCTTTCCATCATGAGAGCTCAGCGGTGGAGAAGTGAAGTCAGATTTATTTTTAAAGTGGTCAGTCAGTCAAGACTCATACATATTTCAATAAAAGTTTTAAAAAAAAATCTTTCTGTGTACAGTAAATATGTGTTTAAATACCAGTATCTCATTTAAGCTTAAACGGGGTATTAAACGGAGCGGAGGAGACAAAGGGAGGGAGGTGCTGTTCCCCTTCCTCCTTCTCCTCATATGAGCAGTGCTGAGGAGAAATCACATCAAGTTTATTTAGAAAGTACATTTAAAAACAGCAGCTATTACCAAAAGCGTTTAACAATAAAAATCAATAGTACTAATTTATTGAATATTTACCGTAGTTTACCAGTAATATTTGACTTCCGGTCACATGACCTCGGTAAGACTTCTGGGTAATATTTACCAATAAATAATTTTAAAATATTTTCGGTTACGTAGGTGTAGGGCTGTATACCGAACCGAGGTTCGTTTATGGCACCGACCGAACTGCGTCGGTCAGTGTATGGATTGAAACATGCCTCTTCTTTCAGTGTCAAGTTTTGGTATTGGCTGTAACGTGTCACGTGGTTTCAGCACGTCGGCAGGTAAAATGCAGACACATAGCAAACAGACTACGTGTTTACATCCAGAGCTGTATTGAGCTGCCGTATAGCTGTATGTCTATGGCACTGGTTACACCCACAGACGGGGTTCAATTGTGCAGCGCGTTGTTACTGCAGCTTAATACGTGCATCGCGGTGAATTAAACAAGAATCCATGTAACGCTATCTTAAAGATATTAGTGTGTAGCTTTATTTTATGGCTATGTATATAGCTAAAATCAGAAACTAACTAAAGACTGACAGTAACAGATAAAGCTTAGCTTGTAAAAATGTGCTCATACATCCAGTCAGCAGGTTAAACAGTTCATGTAATGTTCACCGTTTATGTTAATGTTCTCCTCACAGGAGCCTCTGACTCTGATGTGAGGAGGACAGCCAAAAGAAAAGTGAAAGGACAGTCACAAACTTTGTTGTTAAAGTTTGCTGCCTTTTTCTACAGTGGAGGCTGCATGGTGGAGGTAAGTAGCTGTAACGGATATTGTTGACAGTTAAGCTTTTATTTCTCAGCCTAGATAATGGTTTTTGAGCAATAATAACACAACCATGTTATTGTTTATGTTCTGATGTCAATTAGGGAGATGATAGAGCCCTAAACCCCAGAGAACCACAGAGAAGATTCAGGCAGAGACACAGAGGTGCAGAAGTCTGCATCAACCCTAACCTCAGTGAATCCAGTGACCTGCTGGTGGGATGTGAGGGACAATATGTCAGTGCTATCAAACTGACAACCAGGTATCTGTGTGTGCAACAATCATCATCCACACCCTCAGAGTGAACATTTTCTACTGCTGGAGACACCATCTGCCAGGAGCAGGCTTGTTTGTGTCCAGAGAAAGCAGACATGTTGATTTTTCTGAAGAAAACTGCTAAGTGAAAAGTATGTAGCAGTGAGTATTAGACATTGACGTGTCACTGGTTTGCAACTGCTCTTTTGACCTGGAAATTATTTGTTTATTTTTATGTAAGAAAACTGCTTGGAATGGAAAAATACCAAAGTTAATAAAAAAAAAAACCTCACGATTTGTACTATAATGTGTAACGTAATTTTATTCTTGTTAGAATTAAAATTTATGATAAAACTGGTACCGAAAAAAGAACCGTTCAGGTACAAACACCGATTTTTTTTTTTTAGAAAGGTACCCAGCCCTACATAGGTGTTTGGCACTGTTCTGTCCAGTGATTATGCTTAAGATGGTTATTGTGTTAATTTTGTATGATGAATAGTTTTAACCATAATTCAAAAAGCGAAGCATCATGACTTCTGACGATCGTGCAGTCTGATCACGTGTTGAAAGCAAGCTATAGTCTGTGAAACGCCATCAGGTGGCTGATTCTTGTACTACAACAAGAAAGCTGCACACTGTCAGAGTTCTTAATGAACGGTGGATGCCTGCAGCTAAATAACCAGAGCTTCTAATTTATGTATAAAATTATGATTTATCTTATATTTAATGTGTGTGGCTTAGAGACAGGTGTGTTCTGTAGTCTGAGAATTATGGTATATAAGAATTTTAATTTGAAGAAAGCTTGTTTGAAATGTAGTAATTTAATAATTAAAGAACTCACCTCAAAGCCCAGACGGTCTTTCTCCTTCCAGAAGCAGAAGTGAGTGACCTTCTTATCCCAGAATTCATCTGGCTTCACTACGCAGACGAGCGACACCTCTGCTGGGATGACGTTCTGAAACAGCAAGTAAACAGCTCCTGTAAGAACCTACAACTCTAACTTCAAAAAAGTTGGGGTGCTGTGTATAATGTAAACAAAACAGAATGCAATGATTTGCAAGTTCCATAAGCCTATATTTTATTAACAATGAATCTCAGTAAATATATCAAACATTGAAACTAAGAAAATGAACCTTAAAAAAAGTCTTTTTGAATTTGACAAGGTAACAAATCTCAAAAAAGTTGTACAAACAGACTTATGTCAGCTCTGGACTAGGGCTGAGAACCGAACCAAGGTTCTTTTATGGCACTGACCGAACTGCACCGGTCGATGTATGTATTGAAACTAGGGGTTGAACGAGTATATATTTTTTAAGCTCGACATTAACATAATAAAACTCGAGTAGAACTCGAGTATTTGATGACGTCATAGATCTCAAAATACAAAAATAAATAAATAAATAAAACCGCAAAAAAAAAGTAATTATTTACAAAAAAAAAAAGACCAACAAAACATTGGGAGCGTATATTATGCTCCTACCATTTATCATACTGCAAATAAGTCACAGGAAAAACTAAACTATTAGTTTTTATTATTAAACTGCAAACATGAAGAAACGTGCAGCATGTCAAAAACGAAACTTAACCGAAACTGGTTCTGTGGATTGGACCCGGTGTTACACCATACTATGTGACCTGCAACAGTGCAACACCGCCCCCTATGGTCATACGGTGGTCACATAATATGACGTCACTACGGTTACTCGACATTACATTTTTAACCTCGATAGAGGTCCTAGCAATCGATGTGTAGATTACTCGAGTACTCTGTTAATGCCCTAATTGAAACGTCACTCTTCTTTCGGTGTCAAGTTTCGGTATTGGCTGTAACGTGTCACGTGGTTTCAGCATGCAGGCAGGTAAAACACCAGACATATGACAAACAGACTACACCCAGATTACACCCAGAGCTGTATAGAGCTGCTGTACCTAATCTATGTATAATTATGTCTATGGTGCTGGTGACGCCCACAGACGGGTTCACGTGTGCAGCGTGTGATGTCGAACGGCTTCGACAACACGCGCTGCAGAAAGTTGCTGCGTGTTTTTCTGCGAGAAGAGAGGACAGCATCCGCCCCCCTCCTCCTCCTCTCACCATTCAAGTCAGCCTGTGAGTAGAGCCTAAACGTCCTGATTCATTATCTCCACGACCGGACTCTTCATCAAAGAACTCCGAGGACGTCTCTTGTGTCTGTGCTTCAGCTGGTGAGTTTACGTTTGTTAGCGTAACTGCAGCTTAACACGTACATAACGGTGAAATAAATTATGATCCATGTAACGCTAACTTTAAGATATTAGTGTGTAAATGTATTTTATCTACGTAGCTAGCTAAACTCAGAAGCTAACTAAAGATTGACAGTAACATAAATCTTAGATTGTCAAACTGCTCATCCATCCAGTCAGCTGCTTAAACAGTTCAGCTAATGTTCACTGTTCATGTTAATGTTCTCCTCATAGGAGGTTCTGACCCAGATGTGAGGACAAAAGCAAAGCGAGGTGGGGGCCACAGGACAATCAGACTTTGTTAAAAGTTTGCTGCTTTTTCTACAGTGGAGCTGCACGGTGGAGGTAAGTTAAACTTTAAAGGATTTTGTTGACCAGTTGAGCTTTTATCTCTCAGCCTAGATAATGTTTTTTGAGTAATAATAACACAACCATGTTATTGTTGATGTTTTGTTCTCATGTCAATTAGGGAGATGATCAGAGCCCTAAACCCCAGAGAACCACAGAGAAGATTCAGGCAGAGACACAGAGGTGCAGATGTCTGCATCAACCCTACCTCATTGAATCCAGTGACCTGCTGGTGGGATGTGAGGGACAATGTCAGTGCTGTCAAACTGACAACCAGGTATCTGTGTGTGCAACAAGCATCATCTACAGCCTCAGAGGGAACACTTCCTACTGCTGGAGACACCATCAGCCAGGAGTGGGCTTGTTGGTGTCCACAGAAAGCAGACATGTTGATTTTTCTGAAGACAAACTGTTCAGTGAAAAGGTCCTCAGTGTATAGCAGTGAACATTAAACACTGACGTGTCACTGGTTTGAAAATGGTCTTTTGAACTGGAAATTATTTGTTTGTTTTTATGTAAGAAAACTGCTTGGAATAGAAAAATACCCAAGTTAAAAAATAAAATTCACAATTTGTACTGTAATGTATAACATAATTTTATTCTTGTTAGAATTAATAGTAATTACAAAATTGGTACCGAAAAAAGAACCGTCCAGGAACCGACACCGAAGTGAAGGTACCGACACCGGTACCGATTTTTTTAGAAAGGTACCCAGCCCTACTCTGGACCTGGAAAAACATTTAATAAATTTGTACCTGCAACATCAGGACGACAGTCTTCACAATGTTCCACTGAGATTTCCTCCCATCCACGATAACTGTGAAACCTCGAGCCTTACATTTCTCACTGAAACAGACAGGAGTCTTCTAAACACAGGTATTAAAGCAAATAAAAATCCTTTGAATTAATTTTTTTTCTACGAAAAAATACTCAAACATCAACCCCCCCCTCAATAACATACATTTGAGAGCTTATACTAGTCACTTTCCAAAGGTTTTATGTAAAGCAGAGTATACTGTGTGCATGCCCTTAGTCAAAGTATACAGTATAGTGTTCACTAATGAAGTGTTCAAGTCATAATAAAACTTTAACCTGAATCATTTAGATCTTCAAGACAAAGAGCATTTTGAAAGAAGAGATTGGTACACCTCAGGGCTGTGTCCTTAGTCTACTCTTGTACTTTCTCTTCACGCATGGCTGTACCTAGCGGTACAGCTCAAACATCATCTTCAAGCATGCTGATAATAACACCACCATCTTGGGCCTCATCACTGACAACAACGAGAGTGCTTACAGAGATTAGGCGAAATCACTGACCAGCTAGTGTCAGGGACATAACTGCTCTCAATGTCACCAAAATGAAGGAGACAACGTGGGTACAGCACTCCACCATCTACATAAACAACACTGAGATGGAGCTTTGTTGTCATTGTCTACTGTTTTGTTGTCTGTACTTTATATGTTCTGTCTGAAACAGGTCTGTTGTAAATGAGTCCACGTGGCTCAATCAGGCTAGCCTGTACAAATAAAGGTTGAATGAATGAATGAATGAATGGAGCAGGTCAAGCTTCAAGTTCCTCAAAGTTTACTTTACTGAGGATTTGTTCTGGACTTTACATAAAGACACTGTGGTTAAAAAAAAGCCCAACAAAGACTTTACTTCCTAAGTCTAAAGATGTTTGATGCAAACACCAGCATCCTCACTAACATTTATAGGTGCATCATTGAGAGCCTGCTGACAGGCTGCATCACAGGGTGGAACTGCACCAGTCAGAAAGCACTACAGAGGGTGGTGCAAACGGCAGAGGACATCACTGGTAGCAATCTCCACAGCATCCAGGACAACTACCACAGCTGATGTCTGCGTAAAGCATGCAGAATCATTAAGGACTACACCCATCCAGCACAAGGACTCTTTCATCTACTACCCTCAGGCAGACGATACAGGAGTCTGCCATTGTGCACAAAAAGACTCAAAGACAGTCATTATCCACAAACTGTCAGATTACTGAAATCTTGACAATAATACTGAACTGACAATAACGCTGCACTAAGCCACATCTGTGACAACCAATACACTGCCTGGCCCCAAAAAAAAGTCGCCACGTGGATTTAACTAAGCAAATAGGTACGAGCCTCCTATTGGATAATTACTGCATGGACAATTATCTTTCAGCTGGCAACAAGTTATTTAACTCCAACTGGTGCAATGAGTTGCTTCTCATTTCTTAAATAACCATGTTGAAAGACACATTGCGTGGTCGTGGAAAAGATGTCAGTCTGTTTGAGAAGGGTTAAATCACTGGCATCAAGCAGAGAAAACATCTAAGGAGATTGAAGAAACTACTAAAATTGGGTTAAGAACTGTCCAACGCATTATTAAAAACTGGAAGGATAGTGGGGACCTATGAAATTAGAGGAAGAAATGTGGCCCAAAAAAATCCTGAATGACCGATCACTTAAACGTTTGGTGAAATCAAATCAAAGAAAAACAACAGTAGCACTCAGGGCTATGTTTAACAGTGAAAGAGCATTTCCACATGCACAATGTGAAGGGAACTCAAGGGATTAGGACTGAACAGCTGTGTAGCCTTAAGAAAACCACTAATCAGTGAGACTAACTGAAAAAAAGACTTCAATTTGCTAGAGATAATCTGTCCTCCAGCTCTAATGTTAAAAATCTTGGTGTTATTTTTGATCAGGACATGTCTTTTATCCCCCACATTAAAAACGTTACTAGAACTGCCTTCTTCCATCTGCGTAATATCGCTAAAATTAGAAACATCTTATCTAAAAATTATGCAGAAAAACTGGTCCATGCATTTGTCACGTCTAGACTGGACTATTGCAATGGTTTATTATCTGAATGTCCAAATACGTCTTTAAAACATCTTCAGTTGATCCAAAATGCTGCTGCCAGAGTCTTAACTGGAGTTAGTAGGAGAGATCATATTTCTCCAGCTTTAGTTTCTCTCCATTGGCTCCCTGTCGAATCCAGAATAGAATTCAAAATCTTACTTCTAACCTACAAAGCTCTCAACAACCTGGCTCCATCTTTTAAAAGGGAATTTTTCCTTTCCACTGTTGCCACTATGCTTGCTCAGGATGGGAGACTGCAACGAAGCCAAGATTCAACTTGTCTGCTGGATTCCTTAGATAGAGAACTTTACTAATTGGCTTTTATGTATTTGAATGTTTCTGTAAAGCGCACTGAGACAACTTTGTTGTGATTTGGCGCTATATAAATAAACTGAATTGAATTGAAATAGAGTGCATAAAGATTGGACTCTGGAGCAATGGAAGAAGGTCGTGTGGTCTGATGAGTCTAGATTTACCCTGTTCCAGAGTGATGGGTGCATCAGGGTAAGAAGAAAGGCAGGTGAAGTGATGCACCCATCATGCCTAGTGCCTAGTCATCAATGTAAGATCTTGATGAAAAATTAATGCAAAACTGGATGGAAATAGACCTTGTGACATTGCAGAAGTTTATTGAAACAATGCTACGGCGAACGCATGCTGTAATCAAAGCTAAAGGCGGTCCAACGAAATATTAGTGTGACCTTTTTTTGTGGCAACTTTTTTTTTGGCCAGGCAGTGTATATATATTGCTATAATATATATATATTGATGTGGCTGAAAAATTACACTTATAGCAACAATACATATTAGAACAAGACATAAAACATACACTCTACTACCGGTACTGTTGCCTGTCGCCATTACCAGCGCCACATCATCTGTGACGTCTTTACTGTGTTAAATTCAAACTTTTTCAAAAGTGGTTAAAATGAGAATATTTAAACACAGATCTGAATAATGAGTAATGTGTGTGTGCCTTTCCGAGTGTGTGTACCTGGGGATACTGAGCAGATAGTCCAGTGTGGTGCCAAGTTCCTCCATACTGGTCTGATCTGAATTAAGAGGGATGGACAGAATCAGACCACTGCGGCGGTCTTTGCCCCCTAACAAAACACAGACAGGCGGTTAGAGAAATCAAATCACTGATGCTTCAGAGTCAACACTAAAGAAATACGATTGTACCTGAGAGAAATGCCAGTTTCTTTTTGAGGATTGGGAGGATGGAGTTTGCTTCCATTGTAGCACTGGACATCTGGAAGAACAAGTAGACACAAATGTTAAAGAACCAGTCCACAGGACTTTTTACAAGTGTCTTTAAAGGAATATTACCATGCTTGTACCAGCACTGTAAAAAAATCTCCTGCTTGTAACAGCACTGTATGGGCATTAAAGCAGTGTTGGGCCATCAGGGCCAGCAAAGTCTTCTCTGCCAGAAAAAACAGGGCAGACTGGACTTTCGGCATTAGCCTCCATGACGATACAAAAAATTAAAGTTAAAGTGCTATGTGTTATCAGTAGCTATGTTTACATGCGCAGAATTCTTTGACCGGATTGAAATGTGTTCTGTTTGAATAATTCAAATGTATTGTTTACATGGGCACAATCTGTTCACGACGAGCGTTTACATGCAGCGGGCTTTGTTCTGAACAGCAGTACTGACATGCGCAGAGTGGTAAACTCTCCTTAAAAAAACTACCGAAGAAGAAGTTCTACTTCCGGGTGAACGTAAACAAACCTGAGCACCCAAAATGGACCCGCGACAGGTTTTAATGATGGTGGAGACGTTACTGCACTCCCTGACTGAGCTACAGGTAATAGAAATCATTTTGAGCTCTTTGAAAGTTTCTAGTAGAAATGTTGTGTCGCTCACCGACCAGTTTTACTTCCCTGACATGCTAATATTATTAGCGTTAGCCAGGCGGAAATGGCAAAGTCGCACATGCGCAGTCAGGTCAGTTTTTCACCATCAGATAAAAATGAACAGATCAAGCGTTTACATGCGCACTGATCGGGTTTCGGATCGGCGTAAACCACCCGTTTCGTTCTGATCAGAAATCATAACGGATCGCGCCGAATACACAAAAAAATAACCCGAACGGAGTGTTTACATGACACACTTTTATTCCGACCGGCCATTTGATCCGGTTACTTATGTCCATGTAAACATACCCATTGTATGTTCCCATACAATGGTGAAATTAGTTCTCTACATTTAAATTTTGAATTAATAAAAGTTTTTATAATTTTTTTTAATTAACCCATCGCACCTGGGATACATCTGGCAGAGCAGCTATGTAGGCACCTGGGCAGCAATTAGGGACTGGGTGTCTTGCTCAGGGACATCATGACATGTGGGAATGGCTGGGGATTGAGCCTGAGACTATTGGGTTCCGGGTCAGCTGCCCTGCCTCTACCCCATCTCGGCCCCTAAAAAGGACTTCTTGATGGAATTGAAATGCACAGATAACCTGTATGATGGAATAATTTAACTATTCTTGAAGAAAGAAAGAGGATGGATTTTGTGTTCAAATAACAGACTTTTGGTGAGTAAAATTTGCAAAAACAAATATTTTCACTTTTTAAAGAATTTTGTTGTACTTTACTTTTAAGTGTCTAAAAAATGTTTAATGTGTAATGCAGATGTAATCATTACTTTGCACAAATGAGCAAAACATGCGCTTGATAAGTCTTTTCTAAACTATTTGCTGACATAGGATTGAAACAGAGTCAGCGCTTCAGTTGCCCCTATGAGATTATCATGGCTGAGGTTGTCCACCAGATGTCTCGATCACTGAAGCTTTGAATCTTTGTCAGCACAACTGTAAAAAAATAAAGCCTCATTGCTTCATGAGGCTTCACATGCCCATCACTAGATGTCCACAAAAAAGCTATTTATTCAGCATTTGATGCATCCATAGGATCATCAATTTTACAAATAAAAAAAAGATTTAAAAGTCAGAGCAAAAAATAATACAAAAATCAAACTAAATAAACAAACCAAAAAAAAAAAACACAAAAAAGAGGGTGCAAGACACTGTCATACGCTTTTCCTTGAGTGGTGCAAAGGCAACAGACATTATTCAGGGTTTAGCTAAGAAATTATAGAAAAGATTTAAAAAAACACAACAATGTGTCAAATGCAGCAACTACAGCACCTGCATAAGACACAAAAGACTGACTCAAAGTGGCCGCACAGAATAACAGTAACAGAACTGATTTTAGACTAGGAATGCGCGATGTATGTGATACACTGTAGAAATGATAGACATTTAGCCTATGATAATCTGTCTTCTACCAGCTAACCGCAGCAATGCTGCGGTTAGCTGCGAGACCCTCTCTGGTCAATGCCACAGAGGAAACTGGTCGCCATTTTTATTGTGTCGGCTCCCCTTGTCATTCCCCAATCGGTTACGGACGCACGATTCGTAGTGTACTTCCGGGTTGCATGGATCGCAGTTGTTTTTGAATAAAAACTCTTAATTTACTTGTCTTAATTTACTATGAAAATTACGTGCTCTATCTTCACCAATCTTAACGTAGCTAATTTATGTCACTTGTATTTCCCTTCGGATCGCCATTGTTTATGAATAAAAAAGTCTTAATTTACTTAGAAAAGCATGTGCTCTATCTTCACCGATCTTGACGTAGCTAATTTATGCCACTCATATTTCCGTTACAAATCATTGGTTAAGATGATATGTGATGCATTAGATCTGACCCTCAACCTGGACTGAATGAAAAAAAACCTGCAAGATACAGAATGAATTATTTCCATGGTGAAACAGCGCCGCTCAGTGGTGAAACTGTATATCATTTAAACCATGACGTAAATATGTCAATGATTTTAACGATAATACGAGTGGCGTAAATTATTGAGGTTAGAGTCTTTTATTCCATTAGCTAGTTTTAAACAAAAATTGTCTGAGGTTTTAGTCAAATCTTGTACCTGTAATGTTTAACTGTTTTGTGATTTTCTTAACTTACATTGTATTTTATGTTTTATTGATGTATGTTTCTTTTACTTATATTTTATTTTTAATGCATTGATACTGTTTTTAAGACTGTTGCTATATGTGTATATAGCCCAGGACATCCTTGTAAAAGAGATTGATGATCTCAATGGATTTCTTCCTGGTAAAATAAAGGTTTAATAATAATAGCAACATAAAAATCGTCTGAGATACAGCACTTACTTTTCTAAGTAAATTAAGAAAGTTATTCATCATAAACAGAATTATACCAGTACATGTTCCTTAATCTACCATATTGAACGGCGATCCGTGCGACCCGGAAGTATTCCTTTTAGCGCATGCCCAAATGAGTTGCACTACGGATTGGGTTCCGCAAGAGATTGGGTAACCACACACCTTAAAGTGGAAGGAGATGCCCACTGGAGGGTTAGAGGGTTAAGTGTTTTCAGTGTGCACTAAAATGCTGCTCTGTTGCTGTTCATTTCTTAAGTGAGAAGACTGGAAACTGGTAAAAGTTAACAACATATTATTTTGTTTAAAACATATGGCTAAAACTACATTTGATATATTTTGCACTGTTTGGCACTACAAGAAAGAAGCCTAATACTTGATTTGTTTTTTATTTAAAAACTCTCTGGACCTAGTACTGGAATGTTCTTGATTGAGATTATTTTGTGGTATAGCAGTTTTCAAAATAAATGCTGGCAAAATGACAGCCTATGCGTTTTTTTCATTCCTATTGCAAGTTTTATGCAAAAAACATATCATGATATATATTGTTATCGCCACCCATCACAATAGATATCGGGATATGAATTTTATGCCATATCGCACATCCCTATTTTAGACATTTGAAAATGGACTCAAAATAGTTTATGTACGTTATACGATCCATCTTAATACATTTTAACCACAACACTACCTGATACTGGTAATAAGTATTAGAACAATACAGGTTCATGTGAATACTCATAAAATTAGTTAAAAGTTGTTTTAAGATGGCAGCAATCCATTTTGGTCTTGGTTCCACTTGGTCTAGTCATCATCACCAATCTATTAGGAATTACACACAAATACTCCAAAATGGAGTTAATTCAAAAAGAGTTATGTACAACAGGTTAGATAGTAACTGTTTTACAATATCTATAAATCCATATTTTTATCTGTGCAGGGCTGTGGGGAGCTGGTCCCTGACAACACTGACCATTGGGCAAGAGGTGGTGTCGGCTATAGTTAGTCGGCTTGGCTTCCTACCTATTCCTTATCCTATGCTGCTATAACCTTACACTACTGGAGAACAGTGACCTCATTTCATCACATGAACAGTTACAAATACATACAAATGTTTTGTATGTATTTTTTTTCGGTATGTACGTTTGTATTTGTAATTATTCTTTCTTAACATGTGATTTGTGATACATGTGACATGATATCTTAACATGTGATAACATGTGACTTCTGTCTTTGTTCCTCCTAGAGAAAATCTGATAGCCTCCATCCTAGACCTGTCATTGCGTGTTTGTTTTCTTCTTCCTGTTCTCTCGAACCAGCCGGTCGAAGCAGATGGCCGCTTGTCCTGAGCCTGGTTCTGCTGGAGGTTTCTTCTTGTTAAAAGTTTTTCCGTACAAGGTTGCCTCTGAGCTTGCTTAGGATGGGAGACAGTGATGAAGTGAAAACTCAAAGCAATCTGTTGACTCCTTAGATAAATATTGTTATTAACTGACTTTATATGTGAATGTTTCTGTGCAGTGCCCTGAGACGACTTCTGTTGCGATTTGGTGCTATATAAACTCAACTGAACTGAAACATCCTGAACAGGACGACAGACCGCGGTAGTTAATTTTACGTTGGACATTAGTCCATCACAGGGTCACATAACTCTGTCCTTCATACCCAGGGACAATTTAAGAATTCAACCATCTTTATTTGTCATATGCACCACATGTGGACAGATAGACAGACAGGTAGAAAGACAGATGTATACTTTATTGTCCCCAAGGAGAAATTTGTCTTGGGGACGTGGTGGAACGAAACTGTGTACACAGGGTCCCAGTTACATCCAACAAAAGTATAAAATGTAAAAGAAAAACAGAGTGGCTAGTTAACCTAACATTTTGAATAAACGAGCTGATGGATCAAACTGTGCTGCAGGAATACAACAGAGCTGGGATTTCTATAAATCCAGTTTCAATGCAGTCTGTAAATTAAAATCACTGGGTTACCATCTCTGTTGGGCAAGTCATTGGTTTGAGATCAATACTGACTCAGCAATTTACATATTTTTCATATATTTTAGTCACTTTTCTGATAAGACTGTAAAACTTACTAGTTTTTACTGATAGCCTTTGTGTAAAAAAATGTAGTTTTGCTCGATTTTTGTTTTTGTTATTAATACTATACACGTGTTTTATTTTCTTCCTTTACTGTATGATGCGTGATCAAGTTAGTGTTTTGCATCTAGTGCATCTTTCTCCTCCTTCTGCAGCCTCTCTGCAGGATGGTTCGGCCCAGCATGGCCCGGCCCAACATGCCTCGAGCAGACACACAAATGACCTACATTTAGCAGACTGCGGCTGTAACCACCCTCACTACAGACACTGACTTTCATCTTCAACCAACAAGAAGTATCGATTCAGCGGATTTTCTTACCTTTTCCAGTCAAATCCGGAGCGTTTTCCATTCACAGTTCCAATTTTCTCCTCCCGCCCTCCTCCTCTTCTTTCGTGTCTCCTTTTTCTTTCTCGCTCTCCTCCTTTTTTGTCTCCTCAGAAGATTCAGTGAACACAGACTTTGGTTTTCTTGTTGTTTTCTAATCACGGTAAATTAATATTTACTCTCGGCTCGTCCTTAAACAACAGTGAAAACCACAACAGCCAGGCACTGAAACCAACTCCTCGCACTGCGCATGCTCAGTAATGTCAAATCAATAAACCTAACTTCCGGACAACATTTCAAAGTAAGAGCCCAGAAGACCTCCCAAGAGAGACGATTTAAAACCAGAAGTTAAAACAGTAAATGCTTCAATAAATGATTTTGAAGTTCTATGTCTGATATATAAACCAGTAGAATTTATTTTTTTTTTACAACTGCTTATAACCCAAATGGCAGCAAAGCAACATTATAGGTATATCCAAAAAAGTTCAATCTGGTCCTCTGGACATTCAAAAAACCAAAAAACAAAACACAGCAAAAAAATATAGAAACGTTTCGTCTCTCATCCGAGAGACTTCCTCAGTCTGAGGAGCTGTATTCAGCTCAGTCTCTTAAATAGCACCGTCTCAGAGTGGATCAACCAGTTTTGCTGCTGACAACCAAAACCAGCTGATCACATGCTCAAGAAGGACCACCAGCCTAACACTGGATCATTAGCACACTGATGGCTGTTTACTGTTCACAGAGGGCTGAGTGATACTAGCAATCACAGCATTGTAAGAGGGGGACAATTGAACCCGGAGGCCTCCACCCCGTTTAACGATGGACGATTTCTTTTCACAAAGATGGCCTCCTTTACTCCTCTCTCAAACCATCGTTCCTCTCTGTCCAGGATGTGAACATCTTCATCCCTGAAAGAGTGACCGCTGGCCTGGAGATGAGTGTAGGCCACAGAATCCTGGCCTGATGATGTTGATCTTCTGTGCTGGGCCATCCTTTTGGCCAGTGGCTGTTTTGTTTCCCCGATGTACGACTGATCACAGCCCTCCTGGCACTGAACAGCATACACAATATTACTCTGTTTGTGCTGGGGGACTGGATCTTTGGGATGAACCAGTCTTTGCCGTAATGTATTTTGGGGTTTAAAAGCCACTGGGACGTTATGTTTAGTAAATAAACGTCTCAGTTTCTCTGATACTCCCTCGAAAAAGAAAAAGGAGACACGAAAGAAGAAGAGGAGGGCGGGAGGAGAAAATTGGACCGTATGTTCAGGGAGGCTTTCAATAATCTGGCACTGAGTAGTGTGGCTGTGGGGTTTAAGTACAGGTAACAGGTGAGCTGCATGAGGGCTGATTGTGGTGACTCAGCTGAGTGGGCATGGTTACATGAGCAGACTGAGGTGCAGGTTGACAGGAACTGAGATGAAACAAACATGAACAGGAACTAGGGCAAGAAGAGCAGAAAACGTGACATTTTTTTGATTTTTGGGAGGGGACGGGGAACATTCAATTCAATTAAGTTTATTTATATAGCGCCAAATCACAACAAAGTTGTCTCAGGGCACTTTACAGAAACATTCACATACATAAAAGCCGATTAGTAAAGTTTTCTATCTAAGGAATCCAGCAGACAAGTTGAATCTTGGCTTTGTTGCAGTCTCCCATCCTGAGCAAGCACAGTGGCAACAGTGGAAAGGAAAAACTCCCTTTTAAAAGGAAGAAACCTCCAGCAGAACCAGGCTCAGGACAAGCGGCCATCTGCTTTGACCGGCTGGTTTGAGAGGACAGGAAGGAGAGATAGACGAACACAGAATGGTAGGTCCAGGTATAGGTCCAGGTGTATCTGAAAGACAAAAAAACATGTTAAGGATAGAAAAAATAATTACAAATACAAAACAGGTTGAGCAGAGTAAGTAACAACAGTAGCAGAGTGAAAATTGTGGTCAGTTTGTCCTCCAGCAGTCTAAGCCTATAGCAGCATAACTAAGGGACAGCTCAGGAAACCCAAGCCAACTCTAACTACAGGATTTAGCAAAAAGGAAAGTCTTAAGCCTAGTTTTAAAACTGGATAATGTGTCAGCCTCACGGACAGAGATTGGAAGTTGGTTCCACAAGAGAGGAGCCTGATAACTGAAAGATCTGCCTCCCATTCTGTTTTTGTAATTTCTAGGAACCCCAAGTAAACCTGCAGCCTGAGAGCGAAGTTCTCTATCAGTAAAATATGGAACAATAAGATCTGTAATATAAGAAGGAGCCAGGATGTTGAGAGCTTTGTAGGTTAGAAGTAGGATTCTGAATTCTATTCTGGATTCGACAGGAAGCCAACGGAGAGAAACTAAAACTGGAGAAATATGATCTCTCCTACTAACTCCAGTTAAGACTCTGGCAGCAGCATTTTGGATCAACTGAAGACGTTTTAAAGACGTATTTGGACATCCAGATAATAAACCATTGCAATAGTCCAGTCTAGACGTGACAAATGCATGGACCAGTTTTTCTGCATCATTTTTAGATAAGATGTTTCTAATTTTAGCGATATTACACAGATGGAAGAAGGCAGTTCTAGTAACGTTTTTAATGTGGGGGATAAAAGACATGTCCTGATCAAAAATAACACCAAGATTTTTAACATTAGAGCTGGAGGACAGATTAATGCCGTCTAAGGAGGGAGAAAGGCTGAAAAATTCATTCCGAAGGTGCTCAGGTCCAAAAATCAAAACCTCAGTCTTGTCTGTGTTCCAAATATCCTGATGCATGCTCAATAACCCAGGTAGAAAAATCTAAAAAAGTTAAATCTGGTCCTCTGGACATTCAAAAAAACAAAACAAAGCAAATCAACAAAAAAATGTAGAAACGTTTCGTCTCTCATCCGAGAGACTTCCTCAGTCTGAGGAGCTGTATTCAGCTCAGTCTCTTAAATAGCACCGTCTCAGAGTGGATCAATCAGTTTTGCTGCTGACAACCAAAACCTAACAATTGGTCTTAAAGGTACACCTTGTTTGTGGATTTTAGGTAAACCATACAGACTAGGTGTGGCCTCCCCTGGGTACAGTCTGTGGTACAGAAAACGGTCAACAGCCTTGTCCTGCTCCAAAATTTTCAGGCAATCTATTAACTTTTTCTTGTAACCACTTCCTGGATCTCTTTTCAGAGGTTCATAAGTGTTTAAGTCACTAAGGAGTGTCATAACTTTCTCATGATAGTCTTTCTGG